AAAATCCCCCCTAAATCCCCACTCCCAATGCCTCCAACTCACTCACTCCCATGGTCACCCCCAGACACTCCCCCAAAATCCCCCCTAAATCCCCACTCCCAATGCCTCCAACTCACTCACTCCCATGGTCACCCCCAGACACTCCCCCAAAATCCCCCCTAAATCCCCACTCCCAATGCCCCCAACTCCCTCCCTCCATCACCCCCAGCCACTCCCCCAAATCCCCACTCAAAATCTCTGCCCCAGCTGGGGTGTGGGGTATTCTGCACCCCCACTCGGTCTGGGGGTTACACAGGAGGCTGTGAGGGGGGTGGATCACTGGATCCCCCCTCCCTGCCACACACACCCCACCTCTACCCCCCCCCATTTCTGCTTTCAGCTCTGACCTTTCTCCAGACACCAGATCTCCTCCTGCCCCTCCCCCACTGGCTCATGTGTCCCCTCTGAAGGGCAGGGAGCTATTTTTGGGTCCCCCTGATGGGGGGGTAGTTAACCCTCCTGGTGCCAGGGTGCCGCCTGGCTGTGGGGTCAGTAGTACCCCCCTGCCCCTGGAAGGACGAGCTGGGACCTGCCTGAGGCTTGAAACCCCAGGGCCGGGGGCTCCCCGTGCCCAGCTCGGGGCTTGTGCACAGAGCAGCCGGTGTCCAGCTCCATGGCAAAGCGGCAGCCCCCTTGTGCGAAGCTCCCCTGGGTGCGGGGAGCACCAGCGAGGGGGACCCCTGGGCTGCTCCCCCAGGAACCCACAACTGCAGCTGCAGGCCGGGGTGGGGGGGAGACAGGCCCTGAGTGGCTGGGGCACAAAGGAGCCAGTGGGGTGAGGACAGCACATGAATGTGAGTGCGTGTGTGTGTGTGTGTAGTGGGGGGGGGATCAGCCCAGGCCTGGGGGTGGGGGCTCCTGGGCCAAGGCTGAGACTGGGGGGCGGGTATCAGGTGGCATCTGAGGAGTGGAGAGCGAGGCTGGAGAAATGACAGATGATCCGACCTCAACCCCGACTGCAGCCCCTGCTAGGTCAGCCTTGGGTCCCCCCTAACCCAGCTCTGAGGGGGCCCTCACTCCCGACCCGCAGCCCCTGCTAGGTCAGCCTTGGGTCCCCCCTAACCCAGCTCTGAGGGGGCCCTCACTCCCGACCCGCAG